GTAAAAGTGATTTTATAGTAAACTTCTGTGCTTATTCAATTCAGATTTCCTGTATTTTCCCACAGAACAACCCCAAACGATTTTTCTAGCACCTGCACCGTGCCTGGTACACATCTGGTGCTCTCTCTCAGTACATTCATATGTAACTGAAACTGGAGCACTCCACATGCAAAGGAACAATGCGTATTCCACAGTGGTATTACCAGAAGCCCTTCTGAAATTACTGTGACTTCTGTTATATTCTCAGGAACAGGAAGACTATGACTTTGACAAAAGCAAAGCACTACAATAGAGGTTGATGGTCCTTCAGTAATTGGCCCTTTTCACCAAAAGGGTGGAAATATACTGATCAGAATCATGCATTAATATATGGGTGTACTTCAAAGAATTTGTGAAAAAATGGAATTAAAAGATAAGCTTGAGGCAGGTTTTTGGTACAGTGGTTAAGACACCACTTGACACCTGCATCCCATATCATAGCACCTGGGTTCATGTCCCGGCTCCGTTGCTGATTCCAGCATCCTGCCGAGGCATACCATGACAGGCAGCAGTGACAGCTCAAGTATCTGAGTCCCTGTCACCTACAGACGTAGTCCAACCCACATTGAGTTCTTGGCTTCTGGCTTTGGCCTGGCCCAGCCCTGGCTGTTGTGGGCATTTGGGAAAAGAACCAGCAGTTCTATCTGTCTCTGTTCTTGTCCCTCTCTGCCTTTCAAATAAATAAGAACTTTAACATATTTAAAGGATGTTTATTTTGATGCAGAAAAACCCTGAAACTCATGCATAGTTTTTTTTTTTTTTTTTTTTGACAGGCAGAGTGGACAGTGAGAGAGAGAGAGACAGAGAGAAAGGTCTTCCTTTTGCCGTTGGTTCACCCTCCAATGGCCGCCGCAGCCGGCGCGCTGTGGCCGGCGCACTGCGCTGATCCGATGGCAGGAGCCAGGAGCCAGGTGCTTTTCCTGGTCTCCCATGGGGTGCAGGGCCCAAACACCTGGGCCATCCTCCACTGCACTCCCTGGCCACAGCAGAGGGCTGGCCTGGAAGAGGGGCAACCGGGACAGAATCCGGCGCCCCTACCGGGACTAGAACCCGGTGTGCCGGCGCCGTTAGGTGGAGGATTAGCCTAGTGAGCCGCGGCGCCGGCCTCATGCATAGTTTTTTTGTAATATGCATTTTCATGAACTTTGTGAAGATCCTGCTGGTGCATGGATTTCAAAATTCTTAGCAGCAACATAAACTTTCCTTTCTTTTTTAAAGAATTAATTTATTGGAAAAGTAAAGTGAGAGAGAGAGAGAGAGAGAGAGAGATGTAGATCAAAAGATCTGCCTTCTACTGGCTCACTCCCCAAATGGTCGCAGCAGCCAGGCATAGGCCATGCCACAGCAGCAGCCTGGAACTCCATCTGCCTCTCCCATATATGTGGCAGGGGCCCAAGTATTTGAATCATCTTCTGCTACTTTCCCAGGTGTGCTAGTGGGACTGGAAGCAGAGCAGCTGGGATTCAAATTGGTGTTCTAATATGGAATGCCAGTGTTGTAAGCAATAATGCCATAATGCCAGGCCTGCCCCCTGCTTTTTATTTTATTTTTTTTTTTAAGATTTATTCATTTTATTTGAAAGGAACAGTAACATACATAGAGAGGGGGAGACAGAGAGAAAGCACTCCCGTCCACTGGTTCACTCTGCAAAGGGTCACAACAGCCAGGCCTGGGCCAGAAAGAAGCCAGGAGCCAGGAATTCCATCCGGGTCTCTCATGTGGATGGCAGGGGCCCAAGTACTTGGGCCATCATCTGCTACCTTCCCAGGTACCCTAGTAGGAAGCTGGATGGGAAGTGGAATAGCTGGGACTCAAACTGGCATCTGATATGGGATGCCAATTTTGTAAGCGGAGGCTTAACCCACTGAGCCACAACCCCAAACCCCTAAATTCTTTCTCTTTTTAAAGATCTATTTATTTATTTATTTGAAAGGCAGAGCATCAGAGAAAAAGAGGGAAAGACACATACATACACACAGGTATCTTCCATCCACTGGTTCACTCTCCAAATGGCATAACAGTCAGGGCAGGGCAGGGCAGGCCAAAACCAGCAGCCAAGAGCTTTATCCGGATCTCCAATGTGGGTGCAGGGCCCCAACCACTTGGGTTACCTTCTGCTACTTTCCCAGGTACATTGGCAGGGAGCTGATTGGAAGTGGAACAGCCAGGACTAGAACCAATGCTCTGGTATGGGATCTTGGACAAGTGGCAGCTTAACCGGATGAGCCACAATGCTGGTCTCCTAAACTTCTTTTAATTCCATTTTCCACCAACTTACATAGAAGAAAATGCCATTATCTTATAGCACAGGTAAGCCACATTTGAAAATTCTATATCACATGCAGTAAAATTCCCTTAGCCAAAATTCTGAAAAGACTTAGCTGTACTTAATTAATTTTTGCATTTTCTATTTTAGCCCGCTGGTGTGCAGCACATTGGTGAGATGGATCTCTGATCTTCAGCAATTTTCCAAGGCAAAGAGATTTGTTATTATATTTTTAATCACATAAGTAATAAAATAACTATCCTAGCTGGATGTAAGATCCCAGGATAAGTTCAATGGTTGACTTGTTTACATTCTTATCCCAACTCAATTAATTGAAATAGAAAAACATTTTCTCATTAAAAAGTACATGGAAGGGACAAAAGAATTCAAGTGAGCTATCAGAATCCTTACCAATGCAATTATCATCTTGTATGAAATCATGAAAAATTATAATTGCAAAATTTCAATTACATGTGAATCTATACTAATACTAATACTAAGAGGGAAATTTCCAAAATGACATTTTACTAATGAAAATTTTTCTTTCTTTTTCTTTTTTTTTTAAGTTTATCTATTTATTTGAAAGGCAGAGTTATAAAGAGGGAGAGGCAGAGGCAGAAAGAGAAAAGTCTTCCCACCTCTGGCTCACTCCCCAAATGGCTGCCAATGGCCAGGGCTGGCCCAGACTGAAGCCAGGAGCCAGGAGCTTCATTTGGGTCTTCCACGTGGGTGCGAGGGCCCAAGCACTTGGGCCATCTTCCACTGCTTTCCCAGGCCATTAGCACAAACTGGATTGGAATACAGCAGCTGGGACTTGAACCAGTGCTCATATGGGATGCCAGCACTGCAGGTGGCAGCTTACCCCATTATGCCACAGCACCAGCCCCCACAAATGAGTTTTTACAGTGATCTTTACTAATTTTATTTTTGGCAACTTCCATTCCTGTATTTATGGAAAATACAAATTGAAAATTAGCTTTTATTGTTAAAGATTTATTTTATTAATTTGAAAGGCAGAGTTACAGAGAGAGAGAGAGGGAGAGCGAGAGAGAAAGAGAGAGATTGATCTTCCAACCTCCACAAATGGCTACAATGGCCAGGGCTGGGCCAGGCAGAAGCCAGGAGCCAGGAGCTGCATCCGGGTCTCCCAAGTGGGTGCAGGGGCCCAAGCACTTGGACCATCTTCTGCTGCTTTCCCAAGTGCATTAGCAAGGAGCTGGACTGGAAGTAGAGCAGCCAGGACTCAACTGGTGCTCACATGGGATGCCAGCATTGTAGGTGGTGCCTTAACCAGCTATACCACAACGCCAGCCCCTAACTTTATTTTTTAAACTTTTCTTTTTATTTGAAAGGCAGAGTGACAGAGAGCGAGACAGTGAGAGAGCGAGCGAGCGAGAGAGAGAGAGAGATCTACTGTATGCTGGTTCACTCCCAATGGCTGCAACAGCCAGGTCTGGACCAGGCTATGTCAGGAGTCAGGAACTTCATCCTGATCTCCCACATGGGTAGCAGAGATCCAAGAATTCAGGTCATCTTCCTCTGCCTTCCCAGGTGAACTAGCGGGAAGCTCGATCAGAAGTAGAGTAGCTGGGACCTAAACAGGCACTCTAACACACATAGGATGCCAATGTCACAAGTGGAGGCTTGAACCACTGAGCCAGTGCCGGCACCTGAAGATTAGTTTTAACACATTCAAGGCATGTTCTAGGTAGCCGCAGGCAACATAATTTCCTGGGATGAAGAAGATACTCTGCCTGTGCTGTCCAACACGGCAGCCACCAGCCACATGTGTGGCTTAGTACTTGAAATATGGCTGGTATAACTGAAGAACTCACCTACTTTAAATGAGTTTAAATGGCCTCATGAGGGTATTGGCTATCAGCAGCACAGGTTTCGATACTATATTACCCACGAGCACTGCTGAGCATAACTGTTGAAGCAACTTCAGACCTGAAGTTGTAAATACAAATGCCATTGCTGTTGTTAAATCACAACAATTCTACAGCAACCATTTAGTTTCTAACGTCAAAATCCAAATATCAGCTTTTACATAGTCATATCTTCATTATAACATAATGTTTTGCATATCTTTTTTTTTTTTTTTTTAACAGGCAGAGTGGACAGTGAGAGAGAGAGACAGAGAGAAAGGTCTTCCTTTTGCCGTTGGTTCACCCTCCAATGGCCACCGCGGCCGGCGCGCTGCGGCCGGCACACAGCGCTGATCTGAAGCCAAGAACCAGGTACTTATCCTGGTCTCCCATGCGGGTGCAGGGCCCAAGCACTTGGATCATCCTCCACTGCACTCCCTGGCCACAGCAGAGAGCTGGCCTGGAAGACAGGCAACCGGGACAGAATCTGGTGCCCCGACCAGGACTAGAACCTGCCGCCGCTAGGCAGAGGATTAGCCTATTGAGCCGCGGCGCCGGCCTTTTGCATATCTTTTATTTTAGCACTTCTTTATAAAAAAGAAAACTGTTCTGTTAGTGGTAAAATTACACGCCTCCGTATACTAGTCTACGAGCTCTCTATAACAAATTGGGGAGCTCCGGGGCTTTTGTGTCAAGGTCTACAGTCCTCCTTTTTTATTAGTAAGCCACGGACCAGGGTGAAATACCTTCCAAAGATGCCTCAACAACAGGCTTAGGCAGTAAAAGTGGGCATTCGCTAAAGGTAGGTTTTGGGGACAGAAACTTACCATGACCATTTTCCTTTGTTCATACAGCTTCTGTAACTGGTAGGACTTTTCCTCTGCTTTGATGTAACCTTTCTTCACATCATCGACAGCCTGTCACCAATACAAAGAACAAGAAGAAGGGAATGTAAAAATTATTGTCAAGCACATTCTTGACAAAAATAAAGACACAGGTGCATTTTCAGAAACACTCCACCCACTCGGACCAGCAGCAGCAGCAGTGAACTCTGCAACTCAGGTGTATTTCCTGGGGTGAGGAGTGTCTGACCTGTTCTCAAGGGCTGTTCTAGGTATGTCAGGGTTCTGGTCTCGTGTTCAGAGACTTGAATGCTGGTTAATTTATACATCTGCGAACAATTAAAGAGCACTGAAAGACAGCATATACTATTGTCTAAAAGGTAACAGTGAAGTAGCACAATGTAGGGTGTAGACAGTAAGCGATATATGCTGTCAGAACAGGGTCTCTGCTAATTATGGGTGTCAGGGAAGCATTAGGTGAACCCCTGAGGACAGGCCGAGTAAGAGAACAGCAAGCTGAAGTCAGGAAACAGGAATGGGGGAGGGTGGCAAGTGCTGTGGCATAGTGGGTTAAGGTGCTGCCTGGGACACTGGTCCCCCACTGCTTCCAATCCAGCCCCCTGCTAATGCACCTGCGAGGCAGTGGATGATGGCCCAAGTACCTGGGTTTCCGCCACCTGTGTGGGAGACCTGGATGGGGTTCCTGGCTCCTGACTTTGGCCTGGCCCAGCCCCAGCTGTTGGGGACATTTGGGGAGTGAACCAGAGGATGGAAGATTCTGATCCCCTCCCCTAATCCATTCCTGTGTGCGTGTGTGCGTGTGTATGTGTGTGTGTGACTCTGCCTTTCAAATAAATAACTGAAAAAAGAAAGACAGTGCTGGATAGGTGGGTAAGAACAGATCATGAAGAATTCTAAAAAGCAAGCACAGGAATTTAAAGTAACATAGCAAGGAGCTAAAATAAGCAATAAAAGTTGTTTTCATAAATAAAGATAGTTTTGTGTCTGAATGCCAAATAAACTAAGCTGAAGAGAGAATGAAGTTGGGAGATCAATGATGCTGTGGTACTTTAAGTTAGAAATAACTTCCCTTGGTCTTTTTCTTTTTTTTTTTTTTTCTTTTTTTTTTTTTTTTTTTGACAGGCAGAGTGGACAGTGAGAGAGAGAGAGAGAGAGAAAGGTCTTCCTTTGCCATTGGTTCACCCTCCAATGGCCGCCGCGGCCGGCGCGCTGCGGCCGGCGCACCGTGCTGATCCAATGGCAGGAGCCAGGAGCCAGGTGCTTTTCCTGGTCTCCCATGGGGTGCAGGGCCCAAGCACCTGGGCCATCCTCCACTGCACTCCCTGGCCACAGCAGAGAGCTGGCCTGGAAGAGGGGCAACCGGGACAGAATCCAGCGCCCCAACCGGGACTAGAACCAGGTGTGCCGGCGCCGCTAGGCGGAGGATTAGCCTAGTGAGCCGCAGCGCCGGCCCACTTGGTCTTTTTTTAAAAAATATTTTATTTATTTGAAAAGCAGAGACAGAAAGAAGCAGAGATCTCCCATCCTCTGGTTCATCCCCTAAATGTCCACAATAGCGAGGTCTGGACCAGCTCAAAGCCAGGACCAGGAACTCAGTCTGGGTCCCACATGGGTGTCAGGGACAAGTACTTGAGCCATCATCTGCTACCTTCCAGGGTGGGCATTACCAAGAAGTTGGAATTGGGAGCAGAGCCTAAAGGCAAACCCAGGCACCTCAACACGCGATGCAGGCATCCCAAACAATAGCTTAACTACAATGCCAAAAGCTGGCCTCAATTTCCCATCGTCTTTTTTTTTTTTTTTTTTTTAGCAAACTTTTATTTAATAAATATAAATTTCCAAAGTACAACTTTTGGATTATAGCAGTTTTCCCCCTCATAACCACCCTCCCACTCTCAAACCATCTCATCTCTTACTCCCTCTCCCATCCCATTCTTCATTAAGATTCATTTTTTAATTATCTTTATATACAGAAGACCAACTTATTATATACTAAGTAAAGATTTCAACAGTTTGCACCCACACAGACACACAAAGTATAAAGTACTGTTTGAATACTAGTTTTACCATTAATTCGCATAGTACAACACAGTAAAGACAGAGATCCTACATGGGGAGTAAGTACACATTGACTCCTGTTGTTAACAATCAATGCTTTTATTTATGATGTCAGTGATCACCCGAGGCTCTTGTCATGAGCTGTCAAGGCTATGGAAGCCTCTTGAGTTCACAAACTCTGACCTTATTTAGACAAGGCCATAATCAAAGTGGAAGTTCTCTCCTCCCCTCAGAGAAAGGTACCTTCTTCTTTGTCCCATCGTCTTTTAAGGGAAACTAGCTGGCTAACAGAATGTGTTCGGGATTGAAGTAAAGAGACAGTTCCACTTCCACCTCTGTCACCTCCCACGATGCACCTGAGTAAGTGACTGAAGCCTTCTCCCTACTCTGAAAAACAGGAAAAATTCTCATCTCGTAGATGGGCAACAAAAGGAGCTAATGTTAGGAGCTGTGTAAAGCACACACAGTCAGTGGTATCACTCAGCTGCTACATTCTTCCAAGAATCACATCAGGATATCCGTGTCCTGCCAGGGGCTGCCTGAGGAATAGTTCACAGGGCGGAAGCTCACTTCGGCACGGCAGTTGCGTTGGCAGTTGTGTTCACGGAGAACTGCTGTGCAACGTGCTGAAGAGGAAGGCCAACACCCAGCTACTTATCACCAGTACACTGAGCTGCTCCGGGCAACTTTAAACCAGCCCCGAACAGCCAGGGCAGAGGTACAGTGGGGGAGCTAAACAAACACGCTCTCTGCAGTTTCCCATGCAACTTGAAACTGTTAGGTAGCTTGGGAAAAGGGTTTTACAATTCTTTTTCTGATGACCAATAAAAATAGCATGTTTGTGTTTTGCTCACCCAGAACTGGGTCTGAGTCATAACATACTTGAATATTTGATGGACATTTTCCTAGGACAGAGGTGGGTTTCAGGGATTATCTAGTAACGCTTTTTTTTTTTTTTAAGATTTATTTTTTCATTCATTCATTCATTCATTCCAAAAGCAGATTTACAGAGAGAGAGAGAGAGACCGACCTTCCATCCACTGGCTCACTCCCCAAAATGCCACAAAGGCTGGGGCAGTCAGGACAAACTTAGGTACCGAGAACTCCATCTGAGTCTCCCACATGGGTGCAGGGGCCCAGGCACTTGGCCATCCTCTGCAGCCTTCCCAGGTGCATTACCGGGGAGCTGGATCGCTGCAGAGCAGCTGGGACTACAGCTGGCGCTCATAAGGGATACTGGCATAGCAGGTGGTGGCTAAACCTCCTGCACCACAGCAACAGCCCCGGACTCCAGCAACTCTAAATGAATTCTTTTTCATGTGCAACAGTAACAATGTACTCTTTTAAATGGAAAAAAATCTACTGGGGGTGGGGTGAGAGAGCTGGTGTTTCTACTGACTGGTTCACTCCCTGAATACTTGGAAAGGCCAGAGCTTGAGCCAGGAGCTGGGAATGTAATCCAGGTCTCCCATGTACCCACCTACTTCAGCCATCACCACTGCCTCCCAGGGCCTGCATTAACAGGACGCTGGGGCCAGCAGCCAGAGCCACAAATCAAATCTAGGTACTCGGATGAGGGATACAGGAATGTTACCTTCTAGGCCGAAGGCCCATTCCTGCTGTTTCATTTCTCATTAAGATTACATGGCTTGATAAAGTATCATTATGCTAGAAGTCTTTTTTCCTTAATTAACTTTTTTTATTAAAGCAGATGTGCTCATTTAAAAAACAAACAGTACTAAAAGGCTCCTAATGTGCAAACTGTTGATTTAACAACAACAACAACAAAAGGCTCCTAATAAAAAAAGTGTCTTGATCCCAGAGCTTTATTCCACAAAGGCTACTGCTTCAAAGCACTCCAGTTTTTAAAGATATTCCTTCCATAATTCTAAATGTCATGCTTATACTGATAAATCCTGACTTATCACTGTTGACTTGCTGTGTTAAAAAAATCCTGCTAAGCTTCCTTGTACCACTGACTTCCTCTTTCTCCCACAACCTATCAATACAAATATTAAACCAACACTCAGTAATTATTTTTTTTAAAAGACTTATTTATTTATTTGAGAGGCAAAGTTACAGAGAGAGGTCTTCCATCTGCTGGTTCAGTCCTCAAATGGCCACAATGGCTGGAGCTGGGTCAATCTGAAGCCAGGAGCCAGGAGCTTCCTCCAGGTCTCCCACATGGGTGCCGGGGCCCATGGATTTGGGCCATCTTCTACTGCTTTCCCAGGCCATCAGAGAGGTGGATCAGAAGTGGATTAGCCCTTACTTAATGTATACTAAGCTGATCTTCTGTATATTAAGATAATCGAAATGAATCTTGATGTGAATGGAAGGGGAGAGGGAGTGGGAAAGGGGTGGGTTGTGGGTGGGAGGGACGGTATGGGGGGGAAGCCATTGTAATCCATAAGTTGTACTTTGGAAATTTATATTCATTAAATAAAAGTTAAAAAAAAAAAAAAAAGAAGTGGATTAGCTGGGACTCGAACCAGTGCTCATATGGGATACTGAAGCCACAGGCAGAGACCCAACCTGCTATACCACAGTGCCAGACCCAAGTAATTATTATGATAAATACATAAACATTATTAACAACTAAGCCATGTACTGTATTAGGACTTCTTTCTTGTATAATTTTTGTTTTCTACTTCATGTTTTGGGGTTTTTTTTAAGGTTACTGGTACTTTATTTTTTAAAAAGTTTTATTTACTTATTTATTCAAGTGTTTGTTTCTTTTCATCTCCCTAAATACCGCCAAAAGGCAGGGCTGGGCCAAGGCTAAGGCAGAAGCCTAAGACTCCATCTGGTCTCTCATGTGGGTGGCAGAAGTTCAAGTACTTGAGCCATCTTCTGCTTCTCGGGGTGTGCATTCATAGGAAGCTGGGTTGGAAGCGGAGGAGCAGGACTGGAACTGGCACTCTGATATGGGACGCAGGTGTCCCAAGCCTGTGCCAAATGCCCATCTCCCATTACCAACTTTTCTCCACAATAGCCAAATACCAAAATTCCTCTCAACTCATCTTCTAAAAACTGAATTGTCATCTACTGTGATATACTCCCCTGTTCTCTTTGTTCTTTCAAGTGCACGGCTTTTACAATTCTGTCAGTCATCTTAATGAGTTTTCAGGAAAGAACAGTTTAACTGTGTATACAGTCGGCCAGGCTGCACCAAATGTAAATCATATAAACTACCACAAGTTTCTACCTTACTCATTTTCTTAAGGTCAAGGCTCATTACCACCTAATAGCTATATTTCACCAGTCTAAGGTACACATTATTTCACATTTTAGCATCTCTGAACATGGGATGCATCTTACATTCAATAATACAACAGTTTAATTGGCAGGCTTTTTTTTCTTTCCCAGCAAGAGATAAAATATTGGGACATCTTATAGCTGATACATCTTAAAATCAATGATGATCCCATCCTCAAGATACAGGATACCAAAAAAATATAACTAAATTAAGAGAAAATTTAATATTATTCTCCAAAGACACAATCATTTACCTACTTAGTGAAAACTCACTTGAGCTTTGTACACTGTTGGTGGTGATGTGAAATAGTGCAGTCACTGTGGGAAACAGAATAGTGGTTCCTCAAAAAATTGAAAATAAAATCACCACATGACTCAGTAATCCCACTTATTGAAAAAAAGATCTCAAAGAGATTATCTGCACACTCAGTTCATGGAGCATTATTCACAATAACTAAGAGGTAGAAGCAGCCCCAGCGTCCACCCACAGACGGATGGATAAGCAAACTGTGCTGTATACACACAGTAATACTAGTCTCAAAAAGGAAGGAGACCTTGTGATACAACTACAACATGGATGAACCTTGAGGGCATTATACTAAATGAAAGGAAAGTATACTAAATATACTTAATTATACAATCACAAAAAAGACAAATACTGCATGATTCCACCTACATTAAGTATCTAAAGTAGGGCCCGGTGTCATGGCATAGCGGGTAAAGCTGAAACCTGCAGTGCTGAATCCTGGCTGCTCCACTTCTGATCCAGCTCTCTGCTATGGCCTGAGGAAAGCAGTGAAAGATGGCCCAAGTCCTTGGGCCCCTGCACCCATGTGGGAGACCCGGAGGAGGCTCTTGGCTCCTGGCTTTGGATTGGCCCAGCTCTAGCTATTACAGCCAGTTGGGGAGTGAACCAGCGGATGGAAGACTTCTCTCTCTCTCTCTCTGCATCTGGCTCTCTGTGACTCTGCCTTTCAAGTTAATAAATCTTAAAAAAAAAAAAAAAAAGCAAGCAAGCAGGCATACTATTAAAAAAATAACAATAGTATCTAGAGTAGTGAAATTCATAGAGGGAAAAAAAATGGTGGTTGTCAAGAGTGGAGAAGTGCGGGAAATGAGGAGCTGCTGTGTGACAGGCACAGAGTTTTGGTTTTGCCAGATGAAAAAGCTCCGGAGATCGGTGTATGACAGGGAGAACATGTTTTACACTACTGAATATACTTAACTGTACATTTAAAAATAGTCAGATGGTAAAAGAAAACTCATCAAATGTTGTGCTTTAGATAAATAGAGTTTACTGCATGTCAGTTATTCCCTCAACAAATCCGTTTAAAAAGTCATGTAAGGCAACAGGAAATATCCAAAGAGATGCTGCTATAAGAGACACAGCTTTTCTATATACCTAAATACTTCATTTTTTAAAAAAAGATTTATTTATTTACTTGAAAGGCAGAGTTATAGAGAGAGGGTGACACAGAGAGAGAGAGGTCTTCCATCTGCTGGTTCACTTCCCAAATGGCTGCAATGGCTGGCGCTGGGCCGGTCCGAAGCCAGGAGCCAAAAGCTTCTTCCAGGTCTCCCATGTGGATGCAGGGGCTCAAGTACTTGGGCCATTATCTACAGCTTTCCCAGGCTGGATTGGAAGTGGAGTGGCCAGGACTCAAATGTGTACCTATATGGGATGCCAGTGCCACAGGTGGCGGCTTCAGCAGCTAAGCCACAGTGCCGGTCTCAATTCATCTTTTTAGTATAGCTTTTACAATTCAAAAAGCAACTTCACATGCTCTCCCTAATTTAAATTTTGATACTCATTAAAAAAAAAAAATCCCAACAACTGTGAGACAGTATTATTCCCCTTTAGCAGATCAGAAAACAGATCCCAGCAAAGCTATGCTAAGGATTTATCCAATGCAGACCTGGTACTTGAACCAAACAGTCTGATTTCTAGTTAATGATTTTGTCAGTTCAACAATACAAAGAAAAAAAGTCTATTCATAATATTAACAAAAATATAAAGCATTTGGGAATTAATTTAAGGCACTGTATGTAAAACACGGAACTACAGAACTTTATTTGAGGAGTAGAGGGTGGGCACTGTGGTACAGCAGGTTCAGCCTCTGCTTGGGACACCGGACGTACCATGGGACTGCCAGTTCTAGTCCCAGACCCTCTACATCCAACCCAGCTTCCTGCTAATGTGCCTAGGAGGCAGCAAATGATAGCCTAGCAGTTTGGGTTCCTGTCACTCACATGGAAGACCCGAAAGGAGTTCCTGGCTCCTGGCTTTGGCCTGGTCCAGTCCTGGCTGTTGCAGCATTTGGTTAGTGAACCAGTGGATGGAAGACTTTTCTTTCCCTATCTCCCTTTCTCCATTGCTCTGCCTTTCAAATAAATAAACACATCTTTAAAAACCTGAAACAACTGCTTATTTAAAAAATGAACAGGGGCCAGTGATGGAAAAGGGTAGAGGGCAGATGGTAAAGCCACCACCTGTGATGCTGGCATCCCATATGGGAGCTGGTTCTAAAAGTGGCCACTCCACTTCCAATTCAGCTCCCTGCTGATGTGCCTGGGAAAGCAGTGGAAGATGGTTTCCTGTACCCATGTGGGAGACCCGGAAGACATCTCTCCCTTACTCTCCCTCTCCTTCTGTAACTGCCTTTCAAAGATTTTTAAAAGATTTTTTTTAATTTTAAAAAATGTTTTTAAAGATTTATTTATTTATTGGAAAGGTAGAATTACAGACAGATAGAGGGAGAGACAAAGGTCTTCCATCTGCTAGTTCACTCCCCAAATGGCTACAACGGCCAGAGCTCGGCCGATCCAAAGCCAGGAGCCAGAAGCCAGGAGCTGCTTCCAGGTCTCCCACACGGGTAGAGGAGCCCAAGCACTTGGGCCATCTTCCACTTCTTTCCCAGGCCATAGCAGAGAGCTGGATCGGATGAGGAGCAGCCGGGACTAGAACTGGATGCATATGGGATGTCAGTGCTGCACACTGAATCTCAGCTTGCTATACTACAGTGCCGGCCCCAAGACAGGTACTCATAAAACTGGGAACAGATGGCCCACAGGAGATGGTGATGGTGAATAGTAGTCCCAGAATGACAGCTGTGCACCAATACAGAGGGCCAGCAGCTCAGCCTGGGACAGCCCAGAAGATTCCATGGAAGGCTTTTTCAGAAAGTGGGGACTGATGAAATACCCAATGAGTCTGAATATCTTTAGAGGAGAGTTAGACAACTGGTGCAGTGAATGGAGCTAAATGAATTATAAGTACACAGGAAATTAAGGAAATGGAAAAGAAAAGCAACCATGAGCTGAGAGGTGGCCACCCAGCTTAGCAGTGAAGACGCTGGCTAGGATGCTCGGCCCCTCTATGAGTACCTGGCTTCAATTCCCAGCAGTGATGAGGCTCAACTAATTGAGTTCCTGCCTCCCATACAGGAGGCCTGGATTGAATTCCTGGCTTCTAACTTTGGTTCTGCCCAGCCCCACTGTAGGCATTTGAGGGAGGAACTAGCAGATGGGAACTCTGTCTCTTTCCCTTTGTCTCTCAAATAAATAAGTAGATAAATTTTAAAAAAAGTGAGGAAAAACAAAATGTAAAGCAAGTGAAAAATAACAATATAAATTAAATAGTGCTGCTGACTACAGATCTTATAAATATCTATAATTTGACTATATTAAGGGGATGGCAGATGTGCAGCAGTGTGGTTATGTGGCAGGAATGGGGGAGAACAAGGGGCTAGCACCTCATGTTCAGTAGTGGAAAATTGAGAGATACTGCTTGAATCTGAAAAATTACATAATCAAGGTATAACAGAGACACAAAAGTAAATATCAAACATAACAAACAACTACAGGAAACACAGCTAAAAGAGGTGAAAGTGATTACCTATGGGGGAGACCAGGGAAGGTGGGGCAGCTACTATTTTGCATAATAAACGATGAACCAGTTGATGCTTTAAACTCTATGTATAGACAACACCAATGAAAAAATTTCAAACAGGTACACAGTCATTTCCTATCACAAAAATTAGAATAAATTTTTTTAAACTTTATATCTTTACTTTTTTTTTTTTTTTTTTGACAGGCAGAGTTGACAGTGAGAGAGAGAGAGACAGAGAGAAAGGTCTTCCTCTTGCCGTTGGTTCACCCTCCAATGGCCGCCGCGGCCAGGACGCTGCAGCCGGCGCACTGCGCTGATCTGAAGCCAGGAGCCAGGTGCTTCTCCTGGTCTCCCATGGGGTGCAGGGCCCAAGCACTTGGCCATCCTCCACTGCACTCCCTGGCCACAGCAGAGAGCTGGCCTGGAAGAGGGGCAACCGGGACAGAATCCGGCGCCCTGACAGGGACTAGAACCCGGTGTGCCGGCACCGCAAGGCGGAGGATCAGCCTAGTGAGCCGCGACGCCGGCTGTATATCTTTACTTTTAAAATGTATCTAACTTTTGTGAAATGGGAGAGAATATTTTATAAATTTATCTCAGACCCAGGAACAAAGTGAATTACCCAAGAATTCACCCTGGACTGGCAAATTACCAACTACACACAAACACACAAACAGGGGAAAAAAAAAAAAAACTAAAACCAAAGCAGGCTGACAGGGAAGATCAGTTCACCCACCTGATGAAAGAAGTATGTAACAGCAAGGTCGTTGTCATTTAAGAGGATCTCTTCTTCTGTCGTGAAAAGCCACTTGCGAATGGTCAGGCAGGTGCCTGGCACAGCTGATGTATAGTTCTGGACGTAAAGCTTATGAGGAAACTCATTAGGTGCCAGCTTGCGTACTAAAGAAAAGACACAACAAAGAACGCTAGATGGAAAACAAGTGTAAGGAGTTTTCCTAGTAAAAACTCTGTGAGGCAGATCGAGTGATAGGTAGGTCACCATTACTGGAACAGCCGCTCCCGCACACCAAGGAGCCCTGCCTTGGGAGCACAACACAGCCGTCTGACCAGCGAGATCTCTCCCTCCCGTCTGGCTGTGGCCAGGCAGGCCGCAAATGGACTGAAACCTTCCACTTACACGGCAGATCCCTCAGCTAACAGGATGACTTGGCAAGCGCTTCCAACTCAAATTCAGTGAATTTGATCTGCTTATCTGGAAAGTTACAGCTGACGTCCACTCAAGGTCTGTAGAGCAAGCCCCTCCTCTTGCCCAGCTCTGGGGCGGTCAGCCTCTCCTGCAGCGAGGCTCAATGCACGGCTGCACTGCCAATAGGTGAGAGGCTCTCCCACCCCAACCCCAAAACCCCGAGGCGTTCATCAAGGTGGAAGTGTCCCGGGAGCAACATTACTTCCTTTTCCTGTAAGTGCACAAGCAGCACAAAACACTACCACTTTCTTTTTTTTTTTTTTTTTGAGACACTACCACTTTTAATCTCTATGTTGCTTTTCTCTGGAAAGCCTGCTTTCCTCTCTTGATGTTTACTTGGCTTTGTATCAGGGCAAAAGACCAACTTACTAATCTCCCAAGTTTTAGAAAGTAAAACTAAAGCTTAGAGAAGGATAAGATTAGAACCCAAGTGTCCTGGTTCCCCAGCAATCCTTTGTAGCATAATTTACATCTGCGTAAGTAAGCTGTTCAGAGTTGGGAAGAACAGGGAGATGACTGCTTTGTGGGGGATTCAAAGTTGTTCTACCTCCAGCTGGGGTGGCAAGGCAACCCAAATCTATCGAGCTCTCCCCATTTCTGGGATGAGGAAGGTCTGGTCAACCAATATTATCTGTGGCATTTCTGATCTTAGCTGATTGTGTGTGTGTGTGTGTGAAGGAGACCCATAAACCTTAGGAAATCTATGTCAGTAGCAGCAAACCCTCAGGCCCCCTTCGTCTTTGCGAACTCTATGCAACCAATATGATTACCATCCCTAGCTTTTATAAAACACAAGAGAAACTTCCTGTTAACATGCAATAAAATTTCCTAGAAATATGAACTCTATTCACATGGAATCTTAAATATATTTATTGAAACAAGCTTTTAAGCAAAAATCTCTAACTTCTGGAAACAAAAAGCCACTCAAATAAAAATCTTTACAAAAAGCAAAAGGGACACTAAAACCACTTGTAACTAAAATAGTAAGTCCTATCTTTTTAAGGCTATTTTTTGGGAATATGTGAATTCTGGACCTCGCATGAAGATATATGGTTCAGTGCTGGGCATCACCTCTATGTACTCACACACGAGGAGAAACGGACCACAGTGATCAGACCCCCTATGACCTGGGCTCAGTGAGATCTGCCTGGCCTACCTGCTGGAAGCAGTCCAAACGAGTGGGACATCCCCTCCAGACAGTTATCAGTACAAAATACCCCCCAAAGAATATTTCATATTAACCACTGACACTTACCAAAGGAATGATTGATCACTTCAAATAAGGCAAAGTAATTCACTGTGGTGCTGTCCATGCCAACCTTTGCTGCAATAGCCTAAAGTGTAAACAGGAAAACAAACTCAGACGATGCTGTGGAAAAGGCAGGTGTGTGCAGGTGGAGGGGGAAGTGAACGGTTCTCCCGTCCCGGCTTCATAAAAACCGAGCCTGCTGGATGAGTACACGCAGGCATGCGCAAGTATGAAAGACAAGGGGAAGAGCCACACTTACGAGCTCCTTCCTACTAAGCTGATAACTGTCTCCTTATAACACCTGCTTTCCTCTCGGAAATGCGGCTTCACATGTGACCACAGGTCTTTCTTAACATAAATTACAAGAAGTGTGCTTAACAGGACAGACCTTAAAAAGAACACATTTTTTAAATAACTACTTCACATACTTGGTCTACATTTAATATAGGTAATTAACACACAAGATCTGTATCTTTGATTCTTTTTCTTCCTTTTAAAGATTTTATTTATTTATTTATTTATTTGAGAGGTAGAGCTACAGACAGTGAGAGGGAGAGACAGAGAGAAAGGTCTTCCTTCCGTTGGTTCACTCCCCAAATGGCCGCAACGGCCAGAGCTATGCTGATCTGAAGCCAGAAGCCAGGTGCTTTTTCCTGGTCTCGCACATGGCTGCAGGGGCCCAAGGACTTGGGCCATCTTCTACTGCTTTCCCAGGCCACAGCAGAGAGCTGGATCGGAAGGGGAGCAGCCGGGACTAGAACTGGTGCCCATATGGGATGCCGGTGCTGCAGGTGGAGGATTAACCTATTGAGCCACGGCACCAGCCCCTATCTTTGATTCTTGAACTCAAAATGACATTTGTCAATTTTATTCAGGCTTCACAAATATTTTTATTTATTTTCCAATAATCTACATCCTAGGCTGGGGACATTAGATAGCTTCATTTCCTGAGAATTACCATAATCACAAAACCCATATGAAAATAGCAACAACAGAGGCATATTAAACAAGGAAAAGTTCCTTCTCCCTTGGAACTAAGGTCCTAACATGACAAATAAAAAAGAAATTAACAGACTCCATGGGGAAATTAATGAAAATTGAAATTACACACAAACAACAATAAAGCACAAACCAAAAAACGCAGTAGTAACAAAATTCTTTTTCAAGATTAATTTTGGTATTAGTTGAATCAGATATCAGCACTTCAGTAAACCTAATATCCTTTCTTCCCATATCTGCTCAAACTGTCAGGCCTAGGTTAATCCCTGCAATGATGTAGGCATTGAAAATTACCAGTGTTAGAAATTACCATTCCATACCATTCTAGATAGAAACTGGAATGATCCAAAAATTCAGAAAATGGCTTCCAGCTAGAAGTCTTAGTAACACAGAATGAGAATATATATATAGGTATGTATGTATGTGTGTGTGTGTGTATATATATATATATATATACACCCTCAGGTTTTTTGGGGGAAAAAAAGCAAATAAAAGATCAGCAAGCAACCTGTAGGACAGCATTTTCCTTGCAGTTACTACAGTACATAATTACAGGAATGCTTGAGTCTTACACATATCCTGTGCCACAGAATACATCAGATGTATAAACGTATGGGTATGTGCTACAAAGGAGACGAAATCATTAATACCTAGGAACTTGGGGGCTGGCGCTGTGGCACAGAGGGTTAACACCCCGGCCTGCAGCACTGGCATCCCATATGGGCACTGCTTTGAGACCCGGCTGCTCCACTTCTGATCCAGCTCTCTGCTGTGGTCAGGAAAGGCAGTAGAAGATGGCCCAAGTCCTTAGACCCCTGCACCCATGTGGGAGACCCAGAAGAAGCTCCTAGCTCCTGGGTTCAGATTGGCACAGCTCTGGCTGTTGGGGCCATTTGGAGAGTGAACCAGCTGATGGAAGACCTCTCTCTCTCTCTGCCTCTCCTCTCTGTGTAACTCTTTCAAATAAATAAATAAATCTTTAAAAAAATACTTAGGAACGTGCTTGTCTCCCTGAAAATCCTAATCAAGTTAGGATTAAAGATAAATGAGGGGGCTGGAGCCGTGGCACAGTAGGGTAAGCCTCCACCTGCAGTGCTGGCATTCCATATGGGGACCAGTTCAAGTCTTAGCTGCTCCTCTTCCAATCTAGCCCTCTGCTATGGCCTGGGAAAGCAGTGGAAGATGGCTCAAGTGCTTAGGCCCCTGCATCATGAAGGAGACCTGGAAGAAGCTCCTGGCTCCTGGCTTCAGAATGGCCTGGTTCTGGCCATGCGGCCATTTGGAGAGTGAACCAGCAGGTAGAAGACCTTTGTCTTTGTCTCTCCCTGTCTCTGTCTGTAACTCTACCTGCCAAATAAATAAATAAAATATTTTAAAAAAAAAGAAAAAAGAAAAATAAATGAAAAGGGCCTACAAGTAATGACCGTACTCAGCACCCAGCCCATAATCTTTAATACCATTTCTCATTAGAAGGAATGAGGACTCCTTGGAGAAGGGGTTTATTCTAGATCCAAGGTAGGGAATAATATAAATATAATATACAGATGAGCTTGGGACATCCTGTTATACCCAAAAGCAAGGATGCTATCACAGACTAACGGGCTGAATCAAGGCATACAGGACGGGTGGTGGTTGGCCTGGTGGCTAAGATGGCGGTATCCCATGCTGGAGTACTGGGGTTCCACATCTGGCTCTGGCTCCTGACTGCAGCTTCCAGCTACTGCACACCTTTAGGGGCGGCAGTGAAAGCTCAAGTGAATGGGCTCCTGCCACTCATGTGGGCGACCTGGATTGCATTCTTGGCTCTCAGTTTCAGCCGGCCCAGCCCCAGCTGCAGCAGGCATTCTGGGAGTGAACCCCAGCAGATAGGGGAGGTGGCCCTCTCTCTCTGCCTTTTCAGAGACGAATATAAGATACAATAGGCACACAGGAGCAGTCTTGAAGCAATTTCTGCTGGCCAAAGGCCAAAGATGGACAATTTGAGCATTAAAGAGATAATGCATGCTACTGATTAAACCATACTGAGTTTTTAAAGCCCATGTGATACTAAAAAAAAAAAATTATCTTATTGGATCATTGTTGGAATTAACTAGAACACCAATTATTTACTATGGAAATTGACAATAAGAAAGAATTAAATATTTATCCTCTCCTACAACTGCATTTCAGGATAACACAAAAGTCTTAGTTGATAAGAAAAAGTTATGTACAGCTAACAAGTATAGAGAAATGACAGAATCACAAACTCTGCAACATTTAATGAAATCAGTGGTTTAGACAACAATCATCAATGGATACAGCCATCTGATAAACGATCAAAGAGGAACTTCAAGATCAACTTATCCTTACCCAAACCTTCTGATGAATCTTAGTACCAATAAAAGTGGGATAACCAGATACTGTGTATCTCCTGTTGAGAACCAATAAATACAAAATATACAATACTAATTTGAAAGTATTTTTAGCCAGAAAGCAGAATCTGAACCTAATGAAGTCTTTTTTTTTTAAAGATTTAATTATTTATTTGAAAGTCAGAGTTACACAGTGAGAAAGTGAGAGGCAGAGAGAGAGACAGAGAGAAAGAGGTCTTCCATCTGCTGGTTCACTCCCCAATTGGCCACAACGTTGGGCCAGAGCTGCGCCAATCCGAAGCCAGGAGCCAGGAGCTTCTTCTGGGTCTCCCACGTGGGTGCAGAGGCCCAAGGACTTGGGCCATCTTGTACTGCTTTTCCAGGCCATAGCAGAGAGCTAGATCGGAAGTGTAGCAGCCGGGACTTGAACCGGCACCCATATGGTATGTCGGCACTGCAGGCAGCGGATTTACCTGCTAAGCCACAGCGCCAGCCCCCTAATGAAGTCTTTAGAATAAACTTTTACTTACAGAAAATACAGATAAAAGGACATATTAGATGATATTACGGGGGCTGGCATCTGGCCCAACAGTGAAGAAACAGCAGGGGGTGCCTATACCCATATCAGAAGGCCTAACCGGAGCCCCAGCCACTCCACTTTCAGTTCAGCTTCCGGGTAGTGTACACAGTAGAAGGCAGCGGATGAAGGCTTAAGCACTGGGGTCTCCACCACATGTGAGAACCAGATTGAGTTCTAGGCTACTCACTTTGGCCGGGTTCAGCCCTGGCTGTTATGGGCATTTGGGGAGTGAACCAGCCAATGGAAGATCTCTCTCTCTGTCTCTGCTTTTCAAATTTAAAAAAATAAATAAATGGAGGCTGGTGCTGTGCCATAGTGGGTAAGATCGCTGCCTGCAGTACCTGCATCCCATATGGACGCCAATTTAAGTCCTGGCTGCTCCACTTCCAATCCAGCTCTCTGCTGTGGTCAGGAAAGGCAGTAGAAGATGGCCCAAGTCCTTAGGCCCCTGCACCCACGTGGGAGACCCAGAAGAAGCTCCTAGCTCCTGGGTTCAGATCGGCACAGCTCTGGTTGATAGGGCCATTTGGAGAGTGAACCAGCGGATAGAAAACTTCTCTCTCTCTCTCTCTCTCTCTCTCTCTGCCTCTACCTCTCTATAATTCTGCTTTTCAAATAAATAAACAAATCTTTTTTTTTTTTTTTTTTTTGACTGGCAGAGTTAGACAGTGAGAGAGAGACAGAGAAAGGTCTTCCTTTCCGTTGGTTCACCCCCTAAATGGCCGCTACGGCCAGTGCACTGCGCCAACCCGAAGCCAGGAGCCAGGTGGAGTAGTGGCAGATGGCCCAAGTTCTTGGGCCCCTGCACCCATGTGGGAGACCCAGAGGAGGCTCCTGGCTCCTGGCTTCAGATTGGCTCAGCTTCAGCTGTTGCAGCCATTTGGGGAGTGAGCTGGCAGATGGAAGACCACTCTGTCTCTGTCTCTGCCTCTCAAATAAATAAGTAAATAAATAAATCTTAAATTTGAAGAGCAAGAATAAACTGAAAAAAAAAAAAGAGAGAGCAATGGGGCCAGCTGTGTGGTATAGTGGGTAAGGCCACCACCTGTAGTGCCGGCATCCCATATGGGCACTGGTTCAAGTCCCTGCTTCCTCCTGGTCTCCCATGCAGGTGCAACGCCCAAGCACTTGGGCCATCCTCCACTACCTTCCCAGGCCTCAGCAGAGAGCTGGACTGGAAGAGGAGCAACAGGGACAGAATCCGGCACCCCAACTGGGACTAGAACCCGGAGTGCCGGCACCGCAGGCGGAGGATTAGCCAAGTGAGCCGTAGCGCTGGCCAAATAAATAAATCTTTAAAAAATATATATAAATAAATAAATGACACTATAACGGCAGGAGTCTGGTGTGGCAGTGAAGATGTCACTCAGGATGTCGCATCCCATATTGGAGGGCTCAGGCTTGAGTCCCAGCTCCACTGCTGAGTCCAGCTTCCTACTAACAGTCACCCTGAGAGAGAACCAGGTAATGGTTCAAGCATCCTGGTCCCAGCACCCACATGGAAGACCCTGATAGAGTTACCAGATTCTGGCTTCAGCCTGGCCCAGCCTCAGCTGTTGTAGGCACTTGGGGAGTGAATCAGCAGATGGAAGATATTTGTCTATCTATCTGTCTGTCTTCCTGTCTGTCTCTCTACCTTCCAAATAAAATGAAAACAAATAAATAAATTTTAAAAATTGATGATACTGTAAGGAAACAAACAGATTAATTCAGAATGTGGGACATTCCAGAGGACAGTGACCCAAAACCTGCAACAAAACAATGGCATGAAAATAGAAGTTAGAGGGGGGAAGCAAAATGGGGGCAGGTGCTGTTGTGTAGTAGGTTAAGCCTTTGTCTGCGGCGCTGGCGCCCATATGGGATGCCAGTACTGCAGGTGGTGGCTTTACCTGTTGTGCCACAGCGCTTGTCCTGTGAGCTTTTTTTACAATTAAAAAAAGGAGGAGTTCATCACAACCACTACAATTTGGGATATTTAAATGCATCTTTCTTTCAAAGAGGGCAAAATACTTTCACATTAATAAAAATGAAAATAGCAAATATCTAATAAACTTATTGCCACATTGCTCTAAGCACTCTATACGTTATTAACTCATTTAATCTACGCCTCTTCAGTTTCTTTACACCATCCAATGTCAAGTCTGCTTGTTCCAGTTCAATTTACCTGATACACCTGGTCTGTAGTACTGTTCTTTTTCACCCTGACTGTCACTGTTGTTCCATCTGGCAATGCTACTCTCAGCTCCACGTCGGACACACCGTTGTAGTTCTGCGAGAAAAGACAGAGAAAGAATTTATGACCCAGGATGTTCCCCACTCTCCCTGTAACAAGCTAACTAAATAATAACCTAAATGCCTGATAGACAGGAAGTGAGTTTCAGTGAAAAGGAGGAAAAAATGATACCTAAACGTCAGTAACATTTGTTTAGGCTTAGGCTGCAGCAAAAGGTAACTTGTGAGGAGGCCAGAAAGGAAAGAAACACGCTGAGGCCAACTGCTCTCATTTCAGCAGCGAAAGCTTGTGTGCAGCAGTCTAGTGAGGCTTTCTGGGTCACTTCCATCACTCCCTTCAGATCTTACAAATGAGAGAAGAAAACAACCAAGGCACCAGCTTCAACAAATACTCTCAGGTTTTAATGGTAGGCGGTACAGACTGGCTCAAGGCGTATCCCAAATCCCTCTCTGAACTCAAATAATCAGGATACCTTTGAAAGGACAAACAGATGAGACCCAAGGATCTGAGTCTGAAGTCCAATTTTTTCCTAGCAAAGAGGAAATGATTCTTATTCTCTTTTATTCCAAAGAAATACTCCTATTAGAGGATTAACACATTCCTCTAACAGAACTTTGGCCTTGTAATTTTTATTAGAGAGAAACAACTATTCAGGAGTAATTCCATCTTCATTTCCCACTTAAAAAAAAGCACTGGAGGGGCCGGCACTGTGGCGTAGTGGGTAAGGCCGCTGCCTGTGGTGCCGGCATCCCATATGGGTGCCAGTTCAAGTTCTAGCTGCTCCATTTCCAATCCAGCTCTCTGCTGTGGCCTAGGAAAACTTGGAGGATGGTCCAAGTTCTTGGGTCCCTGCACCCACATGGGAGACCCAGAGGAGGCTCCTGGCTCCTGACTTCGGACTGGCTCAGCTCCAGCTATTGCAGCCATTGGGGGAGTGAACCGGCAGATGGAAGACCACTCTGTCTCTGCCTCAAAAATAAATAAATAAATAAATAAATCTTTAAAAAAAAAAGCACTGGGACCAGCTGTGTGGTATAGTGGGTAAGGCCGCCACCTGCAGTGCCGGCATCCCATATGGGCATGGTTCAAGTCCCGGCTGCTCCACTTCTGATCCAGCTTTCTGCTATGGCCTGGAAAAGCAGAAGATGGCCCAAGTCCTTGGACCATCTGTACCCACGTGGGAGACCCAAAAGAAACTCCTGGCTCCTGGCTCTGGATTGGCCCATTGCAGCCATTTGGGGAATGAACTAGTGGATTGAAGCCCTTTCTCTCTGTCTCTCGCTCTCTGCAACTCTACCTCTCAAATAAATAAATAAAATCCTAAAAAAAAAAAAAAAAAAAGCACTATTCATGCCTAAAACCACCCTAAGCATTACAGTAGCACCCCCTTATCCACAGAGGATATGTTCCAAGACCCTCGATGGAGGCCACGGATAATACTGAGCCCTGTAACCTAATGGCTTTTTTCCATCTTGATGCAGCACTCACCCTACACTGTGGCCACAGCTTTTGCAGTCCGAGGTGCAACAGCAAAACTAGCGTGAATTTCTTTTTCCTTCTTCACAATTTCACAGATAGGAGATTTATTCTTACAAGAGATCTTAGCAACCTCAGCATACAATTTTTAAAATTCTTTTCTTATTACTAAATATCTTTTTCCTTAAGTGAAGTACTTTATGTCCTTTCTCTGACATCTCTGAATTGCAATGATTACTACTCCTGAGTTTTTGAGCTATTATTAAGTAAAATAAGGGCTACCTAAACCCAAACACTGTGCTTGTTAACAGTCGGTCTGATGACTTAGACAACTGCTGAGTGACTCCTGGGCAGGCAGTGTAGACAGAGTAGATGTGCTGGACACTGGGATGGTACATGTCCAAGGCACAAGAGGGCCTGACAGTACAGGATCCCATCATGCTGCTCAGAGCGGAGCACAACTTAAAGCTCATGAATTGTTTATTCCTGTAGTTTTACATTTAATATTTTCAGACCACAGCTGACCACAAGTAATTGAAACCACAGAAAGCAAAACCACAGGTAAGGGGGACTGCTGTACTCTATCATAAGTCTTTGTCTGCAAGAATTTTATAACCTAATGGGGAAACAAAACATAATATATAGATAAAGAATTAGTGGATTACACGCTAACATATTAGAATTACATATTCATTCTTTTTTTCCTATTAAAAGCACCTACAACATGCTTGTCAGCCTGGGAACATCCAGATGATCATGATTTAGCTCTTATCTACAGGTAGCTCACACTCTTATAAGCTAGAAACTTTAATAAAGTGACAATCCGATCACATGTATAAAAAGTAGAGAATGAGATAGCAACAAGGTGATAACTGAGTGGCACGGATTGCAAGTTTTGGTGGGATATGAAAAATTGATGCCTTGAGCCATCAAGGGAGACTTTTTTTTTTTTTCAAAAGGACAGGTACTCGTTCTTTTTTTTTTTTTTTTTGACAGAGTGGACAGTGAGAGAGAGAGAGACAGAGAGAAAGGTATTCCTTTGCCATTGGTTCACCCTCCAATGGCCGCCGCGGCCGGCGCGCTGCAGCCGGCCAGCGCACCGCGCTGATCCAAAAGCAGGAGCCAGGTGCTTCTCCTGGTCTCCCATGGGGTGCAGGGCCCAAGCACTTGGGCCATCCTCCACTGCACTCCCGGGCCATAGCAGAGAGCTGGCCTGGAAGAGGGGCAACTAGGACAGAATCGAGCGTCCCGACCGGGACTAGAACCTGGTATGCCGGCGCCGCTAGGCGGAGGATTAGCCTGTTGAGCCGTGGCGCCGGCCTCAAGGGAGACTTTAAAGAGAAGGTGGACCTGGCACTAGATTTTAAAGGATAAATAGGATATATAGAAAAGAAATAAAAGAAATACAACTATTTGCGAGGTTATAGCAGTTAAACCCACACTTGGTATCTTTATTTTCCCCCAAGGCTCCTGGAGGGAAAAAGTGACTAGTGGGGGTATTCACTTACCTCATCTGATTCCGATAGGAATTCCTGCATGATGTCGCTCTCACCAATGACTCGTATCGAACACACTGTAGAAAACAAAGTTAGAAGCTGGTATATGGGCCTAAAACCAAGAGTATAAAGTCAAGAACACATCAATTTTTTTTGCTTAAACTTTTTTAAAAAGATTTATTTATTTGAAAGTCAAAGTTACACAGAGAGGAGAGGTAGAGAGAGAGAGAGAAGAGAGAGAGAGAGAGGTCTTTCATCTGATGGTTCACTCCCCAATTGGCCACAATGGCCAGAGCTGTGCAGATCTGAAGCCAGGAGCCAGGAGTTTCCTCCAGGTCTCCCACACAGGTGCAGGGGCCCAAGGACTTGGGTCATCTTCTACTGCTTTCCCAGGCTACAGCAGAGAGCTGGATCAGAAGTGGAGCAGCCGGGTCTTGAACCGGCCCCCATAGGGGATGCCAGTGCTTCAGGCGAGGGTGTTAACCTGCTGCGCCACAGCACCAGTCCCTTTTTGGCTTAAATTATCAATAACAAGCATTAATGAGTTAGCATGCCATCCCTGGGATATGAGATTTTAAGGCATGACACATATCCACCTAAATATGATCTACAGGGGCTGGTGTTGTGGCATAGCAGGTTAAGCTGTTGTCTGCAATGCCAGCAGACCATGTGGGTGCTGGTTCGAGTCCTAGTTGATCCACTTCCAATCTAGCTCCCTTCTAATGCACCTGGGAGGGCAGAGGAGGATGGCTAAAGTGCTTGGTTCCCTGAACCCACATGGGAAACCTGGAAGAAGCTCCTGGTTCCTGGCTTCAGCCTGGCCCAGCCCCAGCTGTGGCCATTTAGGGAGCAAACCAGGGGATGAAGACCCCTCTCTCCCTGTCTCTCCCTCTCTTTCTCTGTAACTATGCATTTCAAATAAATTAAAAATTATATATGACCTACAATGAAGAACAGAAAGTACAGAAATATAGCTTGCTAAAAATATTAAGCATAGCCAAAAAAAAGCAATAAAAGTTGAGTAGATCTAACTTTGAAGTCCTTGTGGACTTATTAACATACAAGAACAGAATATAAAGAGAGACAGTGGTAGAGAAAGGTCAATAAGAAACAAACCGAATAGGAAACTGAAAAAAAAAAAAAAGGGAAAAAGATCTGTCTGGCCTGGGCACAGGCTAGTCAAAGAGCCATAAACATTTGCAGCCACTCTGGAAAAAAATAGGTAGGTAATCAGGTGTTAAGATGAGCACAGGGGTTGGAGCTGTGGTGTAGTGGGTAAAGCCACTGCCTGCGGTGCCGGCATCCCATATGGGCGCCAGTTCGAGTCCTGGCTGTTCCACTTCTGTTCTAGCTCTCTGCTGTGGCCTGGGAAAGCAGTAGAAGATGGCTCAAGTCCTTGGGCCCCTGCACCCATGTGCGAGACCAGGAAGAGGTTCCTGGCTCTTGGCTTCAGATCAGTGAAGCTCTAGCCGTTGCGGCCATTTGGGGAGTGAAGCAGCGGCTGGAAGATCTCTCTCTCTCTCTGCCTCTCCTTCTCTCTCTGTGTAACTCTTTCAAATAAATAAATATTAAACAAACCAAAAAAAAAGATGAGCACAGCATTTCCCCTCTCTGGCTTCGAATTCAAATTCAAACCACAAAAAAAAAAAAAAAAGAAAGAAAGAAAGAAAAAGAAAAAAAAGGAAGGGAAGAAAGTGGATAGGCAGGTAGCCAATTGTCTATATCTAAGAAAGTTAATTTCCTGGCACTCTCACGAGAATGGTATATTACACTGATGATTTTACTTCATTTGATTTTTAAAAAATGTACCCTTTTTCATTTCCCGAGGGTTATGTTCGGAGGCCAGTCAATGGCAGAAAAAGCTAAAAACAGATGAGGAAGTTCTACTACTTTCTATGGGGGAAACAATTTGTTCTTCAAACATAAGAATCCCTCCCAAAATTTAAAAAAACTCAACTAGGTCAGTCAGTTCTCATACAAGGACGCAGGACACAGAATCACTAAAAAATCACATCAGATCTTATTGTATTAAACTCATGTTTTAAAGAAAGATCTATTGCACAGCAAATTATATAGCTCTATAATATCATGATTCAAAGTCTTCTCTGAGCCAAAGGATGAACCGTCTTACTCAAGAAATGTGTGTCATTTCCCTGTCTGAATAGATCAACATTTTAGTATTCACAACCACAAAATCCAAATGTATCATTTGGAAGCTCCAAAGTAACAAGTGAGTTTCCATATTTCTACCTATAGCCTGATTAGAATAAGATAACTTTAGACTACACAATTTAGCAAATCTATCCATGGATACCTGGAAAAGGAACACAGAATTTTCAGTTAGGATATGCCAGTGAGTCAAGAATCATTTTAATGGGGGCCGGCACTGTGGTGTAGCGGGAAAAGCCTCCACCTGCAATGCCAGCATCCCATATAGGTGCCAGTTTGTGTCCTGGCTGCTCTCCTTCCAATCCATCTTCCTGCTAATGTGCCTAGGAAAGCAGTGGAAGATGACCCAAATGTCTGGGTTCCTGCTACCCATGTAGAAGAACTGGATGAAGCTTCTGGCTGCTGGCTTTGGCCTGGCTCAGCCTTGGCCATTGCAGCCACTTTCCCAGAGGTAAACCAGTGGATGGAAGATCTTTCTCTCTCTCTCTGTCTCTCCTTTTCTCTCTGTAACTCTTTCAAATAAATAAATAAATCTTAAAAAAAAAAAAAGAATCATTTTAATGCAAGTATCTTAAATACTGCCTACTTAATTCTCAAATCAGCTTATTGGTAAGTCTGTCTGAATGTTTGCTAGCAAATAATATAACTCTACAAATGAAGGTCCATTATGGGCCAACAAATGCATCTAGGACTAATCATTTTTCCATTGATGTTAAGTACTCACTGAGCCAGAAAGACAGGCTGCTAATCACTGCATTGGCTGTTTTAGTCTTGCCATCAAAGCTCAGACCATCCCATGCTCCCAGCCAGAAACCTGCTTTAGTTTCACCACTGAATTTCAGGAAACACACCTAGGTAGTTAGGAGCTGTCATATATACATATTTCCTATGTCCACTAAGGATAACTTACTCCAATGGACTAGCTTACCTTTTTCTAGATACTCTTCCAAGCCCCGACGTCGTGCATCTAACTGCTGTTCTGATAATGAGAATGGCCACTTCCCTGGAAGTCGGGGAAACGCAAAGTTGGCAAACTCTCTCTTCAAGTTCTGGTGGAGGATGGCAAATTCCCGGTACCGCTTAGAACACAGCTGCCTCCCTGCCATGTAAACATTGTATACCTGGTGAAGAGGAAGCACAAAGAAAAGCCTACTCACTACAAATTAAATCACAGAATTGGCTAATGCCATGCTCACTTTGAGACTGGTTTATTGTATTCTGCCATGACCTTAAGAGAAACCGTGTTCAAGGTCACCTTCAAATAAAAGCAACTTTTAACAAACATGATGAAAATTTACCCCCTGCAAGTGGGGCAGGATCTTATTTTTACCTCCCAGGTACTTTCAAATATCTTCAAAGGCAATTACCAGCGTTTCCAGGTGGATTTTAATTTCAGAAAGCTAAAAGGCATTTGAAGTCAATGTGGTATATACTGTGAATGAACAAGAAGCAACTTTGGAAGGAGTGAATACCCAGGGTTGACTGCAAAGCAATGTGACTAATACTTCTGTGGGGCTCAAACTGGCTCTAAGGTTAATTCCAAGGAAAAGGCCTAAAAATGATGTAAGCAACAGTGATATTTTTGTTATCAAGTAGTTACTGTAAATAGCAAAATAAAAGCTAAGAACCTGATAATCACTTAATTCAAACCATGCAGCCTCTGCCTCCTCCCTCCCATTTCCCATCGTCCTTGATCCCAAAAAGTTCACAGACCCACCGTATTCATCATTTGTTGCTTTTAGAGTTTTTTGACATTTTATATGTGAGCCTTAAATTTTTATTTAATTTTTTTTGACAGGCAGAGTTAGAGAGAGAGAGAGAGAGAAAGGTCTTCCTTTTCCATTGGTTCACCCCCCAAATGGCTGCTACGGCTGGCGCGCTGCGCCAATCTGAAGCCAGGAGCCAGGTGCTTCCTCCTGGTCTCCCATGCGGGTCCAGGGGCCCAAGGACTTGGGCCATCCTCCACTGTACTCCCGGGCCACAGCAGAGAGCTGGACTGGAAGAGCAGCAACCAGGACAGAATCCGGCACCCCAACCGGGAGTAGAACCTGGGGTGCCGGCCCCGCAGGCGGAGGATTAGCCAAGTGAGCTGCGGCGCCGGCCAAATTTTTATTTAATTTTTAAGTGTACTTTAGGTTTATAAAAGTAAGGTATCATGCTGAATGAGACTTTGGGGAATTTACTTTTTCACTTAATATTATATTATTCAGTCACATCCACAAAGTTACATTTTTGTGTTGTTGTTTTTTAAATATTATTTATTTATTTGAAAGGCAGAGTTACAGAGAGGCAGAGGCAGAGAGAGAGAGAGGTCTTCCACCCACTGGTTCACTCCCCAAATGGCCACAATGACTGGCGCTGTGCCAACCTGAAGCCAGGAGCCAGGAGCTTCTTTTGGGTCTCCCATGTGGGTGCAGGGGCCCAAGGACTTGGGCCATCTTCTACTGCTTTCCCAGGCCATAGCAGAGAGCTGGATTGGAAGTGGAGCAGCCAGGACTTGAACCAGCGCCCTTATGGGATGCCAGCACGGCAGGCAGAGGCTTTACCCGCTACACCACAGTGCCAGCCCCTGTACCAGTTGTTTTTAATCTGCTCTTTCACTGCTGGGCATTGGGGTTGTTTTGAGGTTTTAGTTATTAGAAGCAATTCTGCTATAAACATTAGTATATATGCCTCCTTTAATACAAGCAAAAGAGATCTCATGAGCATTTACCGAAGACTGGAACTGAAGGATTACGCAGACTCAGGCATGTGGGCTGGCACTGTGGTGCAGCGTGTAAAGTCACAATCTGTAGCACTGGTAGGTATCACATATGGGTGCCAGTTTGAGCCCTAGCTGCTCCACTTCCAATCCAGTTCCCTGCTAATGGGTCTGGGAGGGCAGCAGAGGATGGTCCAAGTGTTTGGGCCCCTGAACCCACATGAGAGACCTGGATGAAGCTCTTGGATCCTGGCTCCTGGTTGCTGCCTGGCCCAGCCCTGACTGTTGCAGTCATTTGGGGAGTAAACCAGTGGATGGAAGTTCTCTCTGTCTCTCCTTCTCTCTTTATAATTCTGACTTATAAATAAGTAAATAAATAAATCTCAAAAAAGACACGTGCATGTTAAACCTCAGGAGAGAACTCCAACTGCAAGCTAGAGTGGTCACAATCATAAGGTCCTCATAATTTTTGTCTATGGAATGAGTGTGAAAGATTTCTGACTGTGGTTCTAATTTGCATTAGCCTAATTACTAATGATGTAGAACATCTCTTTACACACAGAGTGTCCACATGAACATTCTATTCACGTGCATTCCCTATTGTTGTACTGAACTTCTGCTTTTCTCATTGATTTGTAGAGATCTTTACCGTTCCTGACATAACCTTTTGCATTTGTGTGTACTGTAAATACCTTCTTCCAATTTGTCACTGTTTTCACTTTATTTAAAGGTCTTTTGAATTTTAAAAAGCTCTGAATTTTGAAAGAGTCCAATTTATCAATATTTTATAACCAAAATTTTTTGTGAGAAACTCTTCTTCCCCAAGATCTAAAACCTGTTCATTAACAGAGCTTTTTAAGTTTTTGTTTTGTCATTCAAGTCCTTAATTCATCTGGAATTTATTTTTCTATATAAATATAAGGTAGAGTTCCACTGGTATTTCTTTTAAAGCCAAGAATATTTCAAATCAACTCTTAATTGAATTATCTCCAAATAAGAATATTCTGCTTTTACAGGGCAATCTGGAGACTTCTCGATGGTCTGACACTAACCTCCCACTGTAAACCAGAACCCTGGACATAATATAGGAAACAACGATTTTCAGACACTGGACAACAAGCAGCCAAGAACTGTGATTCCCGGGGAAAGGGAAACAAACAAGAGCCTGGCTTTCTGCCTGGAGAAAGCCTGACCTGCAGCTCAGGGAAGAGCACCCAGAGCTCGGCAGCTTCACAGAGCCAAACAGACGCAGACTGTAGTCCAGAGATCAAAGCAGCTAGAAGTGCAGGGCCGAGCACAAGAGAGGGAGCTCAGCAGAGACAGCTCCAGGAACCCGCACTGGGTCCTCTACATTTTGGCTGAGTAAGAATCCAGAGGGAAAAGCTAGCACCGGGGGCAGCTATGAACGACTAAGTCCCAGAGCTCACAGGGTATGGAGCTGTTCAACTTCCTCCTAACCAACATAGAGACCTCTCTGCATCTACAGAGAATTGAGAAGTGAATTCAACCAAGGCCATGCTTTAGGATAGGGCTAAATCAGTGCTACTGTGAAAACCACTCTATGCTACCCTGAAAGGGCAGGTGTTTGGTCTAGCAATTAAGACCAGGCTGGGTCTCTGCTAATGCACCTGGGAAAGCAGAGGAAGATGGCCCAAATCCTTGGGCCCCTGCACCCACATGGAAGACCCAGAAGAAGCTCCAGGTTCCTGGCTTTGAATTGACCCAGCTCCGGCTGTTGCAGCCATTTGGGGAGTGAATCAGCGGATGGAAGAACCCTCTCTCTCTGCCTTTGCCACTCTGCCTTTCAAATAAATAAATAAATCTTAAAAAAAAAAAAAAAAAAGACCCAGACTGGGATGCTCATATCTCATTGGAGTGCCTGAGTCAAGTCCTGGTCACACCTCTGACTCCAGCTTCCTGCCAATGTGCATCCTGGCAGGCAGGAGATGATGATGCAAAAACTTGGGTCCTTGCACTCCATGTGGCAGACATGGATTGAGCTCCCCACTTCAGGCCTTGGCCCTGGCCATTGTGGGCATTTGAGGTATGGATCAGTGGATAGGAGTTCTCTGGTTCTCTCTCTGCCACTCAAATTAAAACATAATTAATGTATCACCCTAAAACAGCTTAAAAATAAACTTCAAAAGGATCTAATAAATCTATAAATAACTCACCTATACAGAAAAAAAAACCACCCTTTAAAGAAATATAACAAAATCCAGCACTAAGTAACATTAAATTCACAATGAACAGCATCCAATCAAACATTACTAGACATATAAAGAATCATGAAAGTTTGACAAATACAGGGAGAAAGATCAGTAAAAACAGTAATGACAGAGACAAAAGTTAACAGACAAGGACATTAAACAGCTATCACTGGCTGCTTCCACTTCTATTAAGGATTTGAGAACATTTCCACCTAGATACAAGGAACTCCCATTCATTTGCAAGTCTTTTCCATGGGCCTCTAAGGTGTCTCCCTTGGTGGTTCAGGAGTAGAGGAGCCATAGGACAGACACAATGCCAACTCCTCCAGACCATTCTCTGCTACTAAGCAATGTGTTAAGCTGTTGGGAGAAATCCTCTTATATGGAGGGCACAGGCAGAGATCTTGCTGCTTTCCGGGAACCTGCAAAAGCGAAATACTCTGTGCTCCTGAAGAAAGGCAGGCACCGTATCAGGATCGGGTTCTTGCACTAATGCCAAGCAGAGGTCTGCTAGAGTTCAGGGTGGGGGTGAGTGTGCAGGGCGAGGGGAGGGGAGGGAACTCTTTCCCAGGAATAACCACAGATATAAGGCAGAGAGAGTTTGGCTGCAGTAAGGAGAAAAGGTAAGAGAACTAAGACACAGGGGCACAGACTCTGCCTAAGACTAAGGCTGGACCAGACAATAGCTACCTTTGCCAAGAGTTCAGACCAAGTGAAAAGCAAGAGCAGTCTACCAGGGACAGAGGGACAAGAACGTGGAGAGAGAATTTATCTAGGGGTAGGCAAGTAGGGTGGCTGAAAGCTTGGGGAGGAGGGGAAGGCACACTGAGGAAATACCCTCCAGACACCAGTCCATTCTAACCACAGGTACCAGCGATCCACTGCTACAGGAGCTTGAAGCAGTGGCTCAACAACGTTAATGATAGCTTCAATAAAACCCAAACTTAACTGACTCAGTCTAACAGGAGAGGCTTGTTCATTTCCAGGTTCAAATACTATTTACTTTAGTCTCTATTGTTCTTCTACACATGATGGTTGGTATTCATAGGACAAGGGGGGGGGGCAAGGAAAAAAACTCCCACACTATGTCATGAGATGAAAAGCAATCTTAGAGATGACCCAGATGTTGAAACTAGCAGGTGGGAACTTTAGAATAACTGTGATCGACATGTTAAAGGATCTAATGGAAAAGGAAAAGGTGCGCACATGT